GAAAAAACAAGAGGGTTAACAATCTAGGTATACTTTTTATTTGAATTGTTCAACAAGAACAACAAACAGAGCTGACACTTAAAGTAATAAGTGGACAAGTTAACAGAAACAGCAATGCTACACAGTATAGGTATTTTTGTTGTAGTCCTCACTGCACCTTGACAATGTTCACAATCAAATAGAGGAGAACATTGAGAGAAATAGCATGGGAACATGTACAATTAGTGAATAACACACATTGGAAAACAAAAAACCAACCAACAACACTGTAGAATAAGATCACAAATCAATGGTATGACAGTCATGGAGTGGAGAAAGATACATAGGTTGTAACAATTTTGTGTGTGTACCAAGCTGTCATAATTACAGTAACATAATTTTGCTCCGGCTCACCCAAAGTTTAGTTCACCCGTGGTGAGATTCCTACTTGGAGAGAAGCACCCCCCAAAACCACTAGGATAGACTATTTGAACATGCCATGGAAATTGAAATGGTCAGATAGTGAAATAAATCAATGCCAACAGCTTTTGGCACTGATTTGAGTCTGAGTGAGAAGGTCAAGGATACTGACGTTTAAGGTTAACCACATAAATTAGTACACATTACCTTGGCGATTTTATTTTTGTCAGGGAAAACAACATAACTGCTTTTATTAGTGAAGACTGCAGTAGCTAAGTTAATACCGAATTGAGAAGCATTCCAGCCAAACATAAATAAAAATGATGCCCTACAAGGTCAACATAAATATTACAAACTGAATTGATGAAAAGTGTGATTAAAATGTGGTCACTTGAAACACAAGGATATGTCATGAAGTCAATGCAAAAATTCATAGCTCCTTACACAGTCAACCAATAAGCACACGTTGAGCATGCACAAAATAAATTTTAGTATTTGTTGAAAAAATTACTCAGATTTGAGGTACACTTTTGCAGTCCTGTACATTTTGTTTTTAAAAAAAAAATGATTTTCGGATAACTTTTGAAGGTTATAAATAGAATTTTGGATAGTTTTGTATATAACATCTATCAAATTCATTCATCAAAGGAAAACAGAGTTAAAAGCTAATATAAGAGGTATAGTGTATATAATTTGCCGTAAATACCATTTATATTAAAATGAATTGGTACCTACCTACAAGCAGACGAATTTCAGTGTGCTTGTCTGGTCATGAGATCTAGGAGCTTACCATATCACAACTGAATGTGTTAGACTTATAAGTACTCTTTATGGAAAATATAATTTTTATTTCAAGAGTTTGAAAGCCAGGTTTTAAAAATAGTTTGATTTCTCTTGTGGATGATAATTTTCTTCAAGCTCTAATTTATAAATGTGGACTAACCAAGTCCCTAGTAAGGTATAATGATAATAAAAAATGTGAGATTAATTCACCCTGCTCTTGCTTTAACAGACACATTTATTCCAAACACTGCTCAATGCAACTATTACCATTATGACCACTATGTAAAAGAGAATATACACAGATAAAACTAATGCATACAAGTTTAATGAACAGCGTAAAATATAATATTGTTCTTTGTGAGCCATTAGTTATTATGAGTAAAGTAAAAAAAAAAATCAACAATTGATAAAAAAAAGAACGTTTTGTTTAAGACCAGCTTACTATACATACCATACTGAAACTAATTACATCATAGGAAAAAAGGGGTGGGGGGGGGGGGTTAAGGAGAATAGATCAATGAACTGGTGATTTAAAGTCAGGATGATCATAATAATAATAATAATAATACAAGGTTGGCCTGTTTAAAAGAAACCTGAACATAATGCTTTATGACGCAATGTCAAGATGAATACTTGTCCACTGTTGTTGATCCAAATACAGATTATATTTACTGCCCAGTGTAGCATGGAACAAAAATAATCCACTAGGTAGGCATTGAAAACACATTAATTTTTTTTTCTATAATTATTATTATTTACATTAAAAATTTATTATAGATGAGCAGACACAGAAGGTAATTAAAAATAAAAAGAGCTCACCACATAGATAAAGCTTTCGGGTCAAGCTGGTATACAATAATTCACTAGGTAAAGTATTCAAAGAATATATTTAACAACAGAAACAAAAATACACCAGAAGAACAACTAAGAAAATGAACACATCCATTCAATAATCAAAGTGATTTTTGTTTGTTTTGCATAGAAAGGGGTAACTTTCACGTCACAGCATTCTAACAAGGATAGAGTCAGGAAACAATTCAAACCAAAGTGGTGTGTAACAGGGAGCTCCAGGGAGAATTAGCTACACAAAGCTGCTAATACTTCTTGCACTGAACAAAAATAACGGGGTTAAAGTATATTTTTGCTCACTATCTTTCAAAGCTAAGCACATTTGTCAAAATTAACAATATAACTATAAAAGAAATGAAGGAGAACAAAATTGTGACAATATTTTTGTAAATATACATTAACAACAACAACACCAACAAAAAAAAAAAAAAAAAAAAAAAAACAACAACAGGCGCTAACATTAGCTGTGAAGTCACCTTTTAAAAATTTCATCCCTAAAAACAGATCCTTTAAATGTGCCGTTAAATTTTTTTTTTTCTGCAACAAAACGAAGTAATGTCTGTACATCATGCAGTTGGAAAATTAAAAATGAATTAAAATAAAATAACGATCCAGTTAAAAATTAATTCCGTGCAAATCAATTTTCTTAGTTTCACAACCATGCAAATAATAAATTAATTGAATAAGTTAAAATAACTTTTCACCACAAACTGTTACAACCTTCTTTTTTTTTTTTTTCTTCCAATAATTAAAACATCACACTTTGCTTTGGGACTAATAGTTCATTGTTAAAAATTGCATTCTCATATATTTCTTCGTTATAGATTACAAAAAAACTATTGGAAGAGGGCAAATAGCAAACGCAGCCCATACATGGAGACAAGAATTAGAGCATAATCAAAGCAAGCTTTCTCTAGATTACTGAGCATGTAAATGTAATGATTGTCACATATGATAAATTAACATTGAAAGTATTCAATAAAATCATTTTTTTTTTAAAATCGCTATCGTACACATTTACAAAAGCAATAATGCATTGTCACAAAATAAGCTGCTGCTTACTCACAGCAATAATTACTTTATTTTTTTTCTTTGGCTAAACTAGATGCATGATAGACTAATGTTCCAATAAGATACAACAAGTTAGTGTACATTGTTAAAAGCAACAATATAATTCATCAAAACAACCAAAGTAAGTCCAAGGTTTAACAAATGCAGTTTTAGCATCAGTTTTCAAAACTTTGTGGATGTAGTCACTTCAAGATGTACAGTGAACTCTGCGCCCTCAAATTGTGATCAGTTATAACAAATTTCAACACAAATAAAAACAATTTTTGGTTGGCAAGGTCCTTCTAATAAAAGTAAGAGCTAAGGCTTTTTGTGATCACAGCAATAAACTGAAACATCATGAGAAAACAAAAACTGCATTAGACAAACTTCCTAAATCAAATTATGTTCATTAAAAAAAAAAACAACTAATGGACTGTGCTCATAGGCAAAACTGTATAATTATGCCAAAAATACAACACAACAATGGTTATCCTGTACTTTTGTTTCTCAGGTTCATAATTAATGAGACAGTTCACAGCTGAAACCTCGAGCCATCTGTGGTAACATATGTTAGCCAACAATTAGGGTTCTTCAATTTTAATGCACCATAGAACACACACACACCCCCACCCACCCAAATGGTAGTTGGCTATGGGAACTGTAAAGATTACGTAGGTTATTCATAGGACCGATTATATTGAAAACCTAGCTAACAATATCAGAGTCCTGTATATCAATAACTCAAATTGGTATTATCAATTTTAAAATGGGTTGGTGAAAATGGCAAACAAGTTTTCATGTCGAGGCAGTGACTTTGAGCACCTGGATTACAGTAATTTGCAGCAATATCAAATTAGTCGTTACAAAAGTTTATTTTCCTTACCACAAGAGTGTGTAAGAAATATATCAAAATGTTCACTAGTTATCTTCTCACCTGTACACATAAAGTTGAAGTAGTTTTAAGAAATAAAAGAAAACCCATTAATTAAATTCTCATAATGCACATTTCGTATATCAAAGTAAATAATTAGCAAGACACGGCCCTAATTTCTAGCAAATATTCTTAAATGTGACTTCGCACGAACATCAGAAATACGTCTATAAAAAATGTATTTAAATCAAATCAAAGACCCAAAATTTTAACATGTAAATTCTGATATATAAATATGTTAGTTTTGTCATTGTGAAAAATCCAATCTTGAAATGAAAATGGACATGACAATGGAACCCAAACTATTTAGATTAGTTCATTACATCAGCCATTCAACATGCTTGTGTGAAAATTCCAATAAGTCTGCAGGTCTACTATTGCTTAAGATTGTAATCTAATTCCTTCAATGTACACTCAATCTTAAATATATTTTAAAAAGAAAATGTATTCACAGCAAACAGCTTGGATTTGACATATTCATAAATGTAAGAGCTAAACAAAATTGGTAAACAACTGCTGCCTATCTCTCTTCATCTGTGCAAGCCAAGTTTTTCAAATCTCCTCATACAGCACAAAGTTGATACTACACTCATTATTACTTTAAGAGTTTTTATGTACAATTTGCATGTAAATATTGTAATATTGAAAAAAAAAATATATGAGATTGAGAAAAGCTAAACCAGACAAACCTCTGGCTTCATAGCCCATGTAATTAATGCTTCAATCTTTACTGGCAGTCCTAAGGATTTTAATTTTTCTATTTAGGATAGAGTTAATAAATAAGGGGTCAAATATTTAAGGTATTTAATGGAATTTCTTACTGGTACTTAAATAGACATTTCTTGTCAACTCCTTTTTTTAAGCACAGTAGACAAAAAAGAAAGAAAAAAAGGGAGCATATCATAGGAAATAAAAATTATTTCTTCAAAATTGCAAAATCACTGAGAAATTTATAAGACTCCGTAAAATTAGGTGGAAATTATATTTTCCCATTTTGAATATTTAAACGAAAAAAAAAAAACCAAACAAATAACAACAACCAATATTTTCTTTCACTTAAAGGAAGCCCAATCCTCAAGTTCACCTTAAATCCAACACTAGCATGGCACAAACATTTGCTTGTATAGAAATTTGTTCAATCATTTCAAGTCCTAAAATTTGTTGAAGTTTTGTAATTTCAATTCAGTTGTTCATGAATGAAAGCGCATGAATCAGCAATGGAAGAAATGAATATAAGTCCCCAAAATAAGTAATGGCTCAGTGAAACCCTCACACAATGACACCTAAGTGAAACAATATTTTAGAGTGGTCACCAAGTCTCCATAAAATGAAATGTTTTTTCCATCTAACAGGAAAATGAATGAGATCAACTTTAACTGGAATCGACTTATTTTGTGGTGCATTCATCTCTCTCTCCTTTTTTTTTTCATGTTGAGGTGCATTTAGAATGCTCTGGAACATGCTGGATGGTTATTGTTTTATGATGGGTATTGGATCATTTTGTCACTTTTCTGCGAAGTCTCTTTCCTTCCTCCAGGAGATAAGTTAAATCAACTCGCTGTTTGCCGGGTATGTTATTAAGAAGTTTGGTTAAGATTTTATCCAACCTTTGTTTCTTTTCTTTTTTCTGAAAAATAGTGAGAAAGGTAACCAAGGGTAAACAATAGGTTACTAGAAAATTTCTATTGGTTTACATTTTTATTTAAATCTTTTGGCTATTTTTGTTCGAGGATTTAAAGTAACATGCTCAATTTTTAATTATTAACATAAGCATTAAAAAAAAAAAAAAGAAAGTCAAAGTGAAAATTCTTAATTCAATTTCTAATTTAAAAAAAACAAGCAAAGAAACAAAATAGGTTACTAGAAAATTTCTATTGGTTTACATTTTTATTTAAATCTTTTGGCTATTTTGGTTCGAGGAATTAAAGTAACATGCTCAATTTTTAAATATTAACATAAGCATTAAAAAAAAAAAAAGAAAGTCAAAGTGAAAATTCTTAATTCAATTTCTAATTTAAAAAAAACAAGCAAAGAAACAACCCCCAATAAAACAATGAATAAATCAAACTCAAACAAGGCAGTGAAATGATTATTAAAACTTGGCATGCTAATATTAATAGGGGATTTTTCGTCAAACTAGTTTTGGCACTCTGGTTTAAAACCAGTTAATGTTTTTTTTATTCTTAACGCTTCCATTGAGCAAGGTCAGATTAACAGGACTTTGTAACAGATAGTAAACGGCAATTAACAGTCTATTTATTTTTAGCACTGTTTCATTTCGAAAATGCATTATGATATGGTACCTAGAGTAAACATATTTTTATCAGACACACCTGCAGCGACAATGCCACCATCTTTAATCATCCTTATTTAAAACCAAAAACTCACTCAATATGCTGAGTAAATGTAGGACATTGTCTCTTACCTTGACTTCTTTAATCTTAAGTAGACCAAATTTGTCATCTTTTGGTATTGTGCATTCTTTTTTAAGCATGCCACCTTTCTTCACATTAACCTTTACTTCAGCCTTCAGTTTGAAATCATTTCTAATGCTTTCATCTATTTTGACTTTCCCATGAGACATGTTGTTCATTTTGAATTTAAATGATTTCTTGGTATCTATCTTCTCCTCCTGTTTAACACACTCTACTTTTCCCACTGTTGCTACTGTCATATTTCTTTCTGCTCTGCGCTTGTATTCCTCAGGTACTTCATGAGGCTAAGAAGAAAGTTGATTTTTTAATATAACAAATCACATCAGCTAATGCATCCTTTGCAAAAAAGAAATCAAAGGCTAATCAAAGTGAATCGATATTTTAAATTTAACAACTCCATTTCCTTATGAGAGCAAGATTTTTATAGACTTACCAAAAATGTTCTCCTGATATTTAGCTTTTTATCAAACCAATCAAAACAAAATCTGCTTGTATTGATTGGGTACCTGTAGATGTTTAATAATATTCAAGTGAAATAGAAGTATAAAATAATAGCAGAACTGTCTGACATAGCAGCTTTTTTCACTCTACAATAACATTAATCAGAATTTCAAGAAAAATTAGTACGTTTCCATTTATTTAATAGCACCCACTTATATCAGATTATAGATGCAAAATTCTAACATTTAAATTAAAATATAAAGAAAAAGTTATACAAATTAGTTCCATACATCTCCTGGACCTTTAAATAATAAAATTCAACAGAAGTTAAAGTAGAAAATTGTAGGTCTTGGGGAAAATAATCTCATCTGCAAACAAATTAATGCCTCTCAAAACTTGGTACGATTTTAAAAATCCACATACCATATCTTCTGAATTTTGTGGAAAAGATGTGCAGTTTTATCAACCCTGTATTCACAGATGTAGATGTCCTGCTCTTTGACACCTTTAGGGCGACCCTTGCAATATGTATTGGGGTCCATCACAATGCACTTGCCCATGACCAGATCCATAGGAATGATCTCAAAGTTTGGTGTGCGAAAGAGCTGGTAATTATTAGAGAGAAAAAAAAAGAAAGAGTAAGATATTCTCATTGATAAAACAAAAAATATTTTCATGATTAGCAAATATAGGAAATGTGGAAAAACAGATCGTTTATAAATAATGAAATAACATTTTTTTGACTTTTATTTTTAGTACTATTTATTTGTAGAATTATATTATGTCGACATCAAGAAAAGCTCTTTCATCTAACTTGTAGTTTATGTTAACTATATTTACCAAAATTTTCCTTCTCTGTAGTCAGCTTTGGAAACTATAAAATTTTAACTTTAATGCTCAGGCTTAAATCAAATAAAAATGTATTTGCCAGTCGGCCAATTTTACATAACACAAAGAATTGTTAAATAATTCAAATACATATCTCTGTGCATTATACAAAATACCTCATTATGGTAAAACTTGCGAGTGGGCTCATGAAAGGTTTCCTGTGGTCGCAAATAAGGTGTTCCACTAGCAAATCTTTCACCTCTGTAAAAATGAGCAGTTTACAATAAATAGAGCTGCACAATTAGATACTGAAAAGAAAAATAAGACTTTAGTACCCTAACCCCAAAATATAAATAACATTAACATTTCTTACTTGGGATCCTTCCATAACTGCTCAAGTCTAAAGACATCTAGTTTCTCTGGGTTGACAGAGGCCATTAAACGGTGAGAGGATCTTAAAGGAGTGCCTGTAGGTGTTCTCTTACAATCTCTCATCACATACACACAGTCCCCAACAGCATACTGGACATCATCCTTCAACAGGGTCATGTAATGTGTGCAGTCTGGCATAGCATCTGGTGGAGATGGATTCAACAGTATCTCCTGTAAATGAGAACCAACATATTTAAAAATACACTCATTCATTCATTTGTTATTTTCTAGCTTTAGTAATTTTATTATAAATAAATTTTGGTGTAATTGAAGCTCTACATATTATCATAGTCCAATAAAAGATTAAGTTATTTTTCATCTCCTTCTATCCATCAAGACATTTTATAAACTATTTATATGTTAAAATGAGTAGAATTTACTGGGTCATAATATCTAGGTTCACAGCGATCGCAAAGATAATGTTCCTCTTTTCCACTAGCTCGTACACAGTCACAATGTTGCCATCTCTGAAAATTTCATGTAAAGCCTTTAGAAATATTTTCTCTGGGAATTTGTAATGTTCACACAATTCTAAGGAAGGTTAAAATGATTATAACTTAGGGTCTCAAAACATTTCATTTACATTTTCTTCAATTATAAAAGAATATATAATTGGCTATTAATAATAATTACAACTGCCATTTGTGACACTCACCATGCATTTTTCACATTGAAGCATTAGCCCTTCATCTCTGGTTACTCCGCAAATGCATCTTATGATGTCCTCCTCGGGGTAAATTGATGCTTTAAAACAAAGTAAGCATATAAATTAGAAAACAGATAATTCAAAAGAAATATATGTATGCATAACACCATTATTTTTAATACCGGTACTTATAGATTTGAACAAAATATGCTTGGCCACTTTAATCTCACCTTTATTAGACACATGTTCCAGCCTCTCCAGTTCTGCATCCATATAAGATTTTGTTGTCTTGGGTCCCAACAAATCATCTATTTGGTGGGCTACATCAGTCTTCACACAATTCAGAACTCGCCTCAGCTTTAGTATTATCTGACCCATATCGGACTTTGGACCACAATAAAGCTTTAAAAAAAACAATGATTAAAAAATTAATAAATTCTGAATTCTCTCAGACAAAACTGGGTGATATTTGACCAGATACCATTTAGGAACAACAATTTCTTTTAAAATAATGTGCTTTCTATTGAGTCTGACTCCAAACAAATATTTCTTATTGCTATGTTATACAGATGCCAATTGCCATCTTATGGATATTAAGGTTAAAATCGATCTACCTCAATTGGTGTCTTGTGGATATAAAGTGTTAATGCTGCTTCCCCATTTAATTTGAGATCACAAGTATGATTGCAATATTAAATTTATTAATATAAATTAATCAATGTACTCAATTATATGATAAAATACAATTTCTTCTAGTATTAACAGTAAAATCTAAATGTTAAAACAATGTACCTACCTCAACATTACTAAATAACAGCATGATGTCAGCATTGAAAGAACTCAAGTGGTCATAGTATCCAGTCTTGACTCTTTGTTTTATCATGGACAAATCTATTGGTTCTCTTACAACCTGGTAATACTGAGGTTGTTTCTTGCGTGACGGTAAGGACATCAGTTGTGTAACTAAGCTGTTTCCATCTTCATCTGTAAATAAATAGACACAGTGTTACAAGACTGAAAGCATGGATTTGAAAGTACAATGGATTTGTTAACACTGGTAAGTCAAAAGATATTATTTTTTTTAATGAGTCAATAGCAATACCTGGTTTAGAATAAAATAAAACATCAACCAGTCTAACATGTGATTTCTTTTAAATATTCTTATTCAAAAGCAATATTTGTTCACTTGGAGTTAGCTTCAACTTCAACATAATAATGTCACCTGACCTTTCAGTGAAAGAAGTTCTGTTAGCATTTTATCAAAGATCTGTGCAAGTTGATGACGCCTTGCCATTTCAGGGTTGTCCTTAGCGTATGCTGCCAATCTATTCAATGAAATAATATTTTAATGAGATTTAATTGATTTTTTAAGAAAAAAATTGGCTAAAAGTTAAAAAAAATTATGTAACATTTTAATCAAATTTGAACAATTCTTCACTTTTATTTCCTATTACATTAATCAAACATTATGGCTATGAGTGAGGGAAAATTTCCTGAGTTTCCTTACAATTTATCATCTTAATAAATGTCTCAGTATTTTAGTTCAAATGTATTTAAATTGACACTTTTTTTTTTAAACCAACCTTGTTTTTACTGATCTTTCATTCAAGTGAACCAACATCATATCTAAGACAAGATAAATAATATTTTATTAAAAAACAACATGATGAATTATGACAACTGAAAAAAAAAAACTAATATAAGAATCTAAAATAAATTTTAAAAACTCTATACAGACTGTAGCATGAAGGTGTTGCGTAATTAAAAAAAAACATTTTTGTGTTTTTCTTCCTTTATTACTTAGGAGCATGATACATTTTTGTCCTAGTAACTATGAATATATGACAGGAAAAATGTGTATACCAATGAAAACAGTTTTTGTTATAAATAAAGAAAGTGATCTATAATATATATAATTAATTAATTAAATTGCACATAATCAGTGTATTACGAGATTTATGGAAAAATGTTCATATAATGGACTATATAAAAATCTATTATAAAATTTCAGAATATACATTAATATTAACGGCCAAGATGAACACCAGGGAGCATATTTCAACTAAGAGAAAACTAAAATTAAAACATGTGATTACCAGGATTAAGAGCATTGATCTTGTTGCAGTCCAAGACATTCATCTCTTCTTTAGTTATGGGGACATAGTCTTGGCCAGGATGCCGCTGATTTCGAACTTTGTCTACATTGCGCACCAGGAAAGTACGATGTTTTCTAGCATAGCAGCGCTCTTTGAAAGTCATTGGCTTGGCAAGTGGTTGAACCTGGACATTCTCAGATGATTGCTTAAAAAAAAAAAATTATTATTAACATAAATATATATACATTTTATCGTGTGAAATTTGAAGAAAATCTTAGCAAATATACCACAATTTAAAAAAAATAAAATAAACATGGTGGTCTCACCTTTTCTTTTAATTTTTTATTCATCAGTTTAGATTTGCGCTTGTCCTTACTGTCATCTAATTTTTCAGGCTTGTTGGAACTCCCCCCATTTCTTTGTGTTTTACCACCAATAACGCCTCGACAATCTGAACTACCGCATCGACACTCTTGCTGAAATCAAAAATCATAAAAACTTATTGGTTATTAAAGGACAACAAATTATAACTGAAGATTATGGACTAAATTTTTAAAAAGTGACTGTAACAGACCTGGTTACCCTCGAACTCCTAAAAACGTACAATATTGTCTCAAAATCAAACAATACTGTATCTTAATAGTAAATAAATAAACATACAGTATACATAATGTATACAACAACTACTTGCATTTAGTGTCTAGTAGGATTGAATAAGCAGATGTAAAAGTAGATGACTGATGTTTATATTGCAATCTACAGCAACATAGTTTTGCAGATGTGTATATCAATTAAATATAAGATCACATTATCACAGTATGTCACTGATAAAATTACAATAATGATGAAATTTAAGTTGTTTACACTCAAAATGACATCAGCATAACATAAAATTTATTGAAATAAGAATAAATTAACAAATGAGGAGGTCATTTACAAAACCTGCCAAGTAACTTGAGATTTATTTTTTTAGGAAAAGTTGGTTAAAAAAAAATACATATCCATTAAGCCTATTTCCAGTTAACATATTATAGTTTGATAACTACCACAAGCTTTACTTAAATGGTTTAAAGGAAGAGCAGTGTTGGAACTAAATGGGGGTATTAAAAATTGTACAGCTGATTTGTGTGTTCTTAAAATAGATTTCAAAGGCCTTCTCAGATCCTATAACATATTTTGAAATCTAATGATGTTGTTCGGAACAGTTAAGCATGAATTCAAATTTAAATACATCCCCCCCCCCCCCCACCAGTTGTCTCCATTTTTGCACCGGAACAAAAAAAAAAATAATTAAGTCATACAGCACCAAAGAAAACAAAAGCGAGGATTGACTAAAATTGTCACTTAGGTGACTACTCTAATATTACGAGTGTCATATGAAAACACAAAGCAAAATTATGACCATCTAAACCATCAATATGGAAACATTGTAGTGTTAATTTTATAGACTTAAAATATTTAGACACACCTCCAGCTGTAGACAAAATATCCTATATCAACACCACCACCTTCCCCTATCAGGGCTAACATAATATAGTAATAGATGATTTTTTTTAAAATCCAAAAATCTACTGGCATATATGATATATGTTCAACCCCATCTCTTAAAATCGCAGTTCTGAAAATCGTAAAATACATCTTAAAATCGTAAATTATAGGCCAAAATCATAAGAGTAAACAGGTCTGCTGAATATTATTATTTACGTATAAAAAAAATGTGTAAACCAGATGAGATAAGCCACATGCTTACATAACTTGAGCTTCATAATGAACACATTCCAAAATATCTCTTTTAAAATAGCATTCATAAATATCCTCAAGGGTTGAAAAGAATATAATTACTACTTTAAGAAATTGACATCAATTGGTGAGAACATTATAAGCACTGTTAGAGCTTTATATAAAGGTGTAGTTGTTTTCACATGTATACAAATTGTGGAAAGCAGATATAACCTGCTGATTTAATTTCACAACTAATTATAAGTATCTTTAATTTTAAAATGGACTCATTTCGCTTGTCCGGTACAAGAATGATTACTGGAATGTTAATTTTAGCAGAGCAATTTTCCATTGTGTGACAAAAGTGTAAAATTTGGGGGAAGCCTACCTCCTTGGAGAAAATTTCAGGGTGCCAAATACTCATGCTTTATTTTGGGATAGACCACCAAATTTCATCTTCTTAAGCCTAATGCATTCGAGGTATTTTTTGCCAATTTATGTTTTGAATTGAGAATAGAATTAGTGAGTAAGAAGTTAAAAAGCTTTATTATACATACAAGTTAATCATGATAATTGTATAAGCATTTTACTCACCTGAGTTTCTTGATTGAAAGGATCAAAATTATAATCATAGCTCAGTTCCTCTCCTTCTTCTATGTCCCTTAGGGCAAATAATACCATCCTGTAGAGGCCATTAACATTCCTGAAATGTGAAGATTTTATTTTCAAATAAAAATTTATCTTTGTATACATCAATGTGTGGATTTTTTATTCAAGAGATTGTTATATTTATCAAACAGCATCTCATCTCTGTCAAAGAACTTCTACAAGAAAAAAATTATATCACATGTTTTCTTTGGTTTCATTTGTATTTTGCTGATATATACACACAGTAGAAAAATTTACCATTTCTGCATCTCACAGTTTGGCTTGCAAGAATGATTGACATAACGTCCAATGTTACCCATCCTGTATCCATCAATTACACTGCCAGAATCTAGATGTAGAGCATAGTGATGGCATTCCTCTGAGTATTCTTCCATCATTCGGCGGCGAAACTCTGTTTCACTAACCACCTCTCCCAAATACTCCAGGATAAACTGACCTGTAAGTTGAAAACAGTTGTTACTTAATTGGATGTAGACTTATAAAAAAAATGGAAATTGCATAAGTTTTGAAATATAACATCAGACTTGTGATAAGGAAAATGTCCAACAAATGCAAAGGTTAACATTAAGATGAGATACCGCTTGGGCTTTAAATATTAGTTTCCAGTTAAGGGGAAAATTATGTGGTTTAACTAGTGGCAAAAATTGATTTGTTAGTTCAGCATATCAAACACATAAATACAGCCCATTTGAATAAATGACATAAGCTAAAATCAATCCACTCTCATGAAACACAAGAGTTTTCTTAAGAGACTTCTACAACTTTATTTTGATTGTGGGTGTTTTTAGAATTATGAATTACAACTTTATGATCTGAGTTCTTTGTACTTACCATTCTTGACAAAAGATTTTGTTCTGACACCAAATCCCCTATCTTTAGTCAAAAACTTTTCTAAGCCGGGTACCCATTCATGTTTCTGAATTTTCTGATTGTCACAATTTTCACCAAGGGCACAAGTGGAAGGAGTGCATTCAGTGTATATCATGCTGAAAAAACCCCCAATAAAGTAAATAAATAACACTAATAATATAAAATTTTAAGCAAAACTTTTTACAATTTATGTTTTATTTTCCAATAGGCCTTGCTTGCCCTGCCTGATTATAAAACAAGCAGGTACCATATTAATATATTTAAAATTATACAAGCTAAGCCTTCTAAATGTTCTAGCTTGTCTATTTAATAAAATTAAACCTTACTGTCTTACTAAAAAATTCTTAAAGATAATAATATAACTAAACAAACATGGCATCAAAATAATGTATTCCTTTTAGATCAGCGGTTCTCAAACAGTGGGTCGCGATCCCTTTGGGGGGTCGCACGACCCTTTCCCAGGGGTCCCCTAAGACTATCAGAAAACACATACACTCCACTGTTATGAAGTAGCAACGAAAATAATTGTGTGGCTGGGAGGTTGCCACAACATGAGGAATTGTATTAAAGGGTCGCGGCATAAGAAAGGTTGAGAACCACTGTTTTAGATGGAAACACTTGATGTGTAGCTTTTTTTTAATTGATTATAATATTTTACAATTGATATACATAAAAAAAAAACACCCTGCAATATGTTATTCATATTTTTTCTTCTCTATACTCACCGATTAAGACAGTCATCCAGACAGCCTTTGGTGACAGATTCAGGGGGAACAACGCAGTTACACAGAGGTATTTCTAATTTACGAGCGCTCACTTTAGTGTCCGAGTAGACATCTGTTAGCAAAAAAAAAAATTATTATCACTGAATGAAACAGAAAATTCTAAATAAATTTGTGTGCAATGTACAAAGGTTATTGAGGTATTCTAATTTGTATTACAAATATGAAACATCATGACCAATGTAATTTTTTATTAGGGATTGATTGTAATAAATTCTGTGAGAAACATTTTAGGATGTGCCCTCATTAAATTAAAACAAAACAACAAATTGATTAAGCATCCAAATTAAATAAGTATGCAAAGCATTATTCTATTCTGTTGACTTTTATCAAATCCTTTTAGATTTACACAGGGCAATAATTTATGGCCACAATTAAATAAGCATATTCATGAACAACTTTATTTTTATCTATAATTTTATGACATTGGCAGCTAAAGAGAATAAAAACATAAATCATAACTAGAGATAATTCAAAATTCGTTCAATTGTGTGCAGTGGCTTAACTGGTCCTGTAATTTATAGAAAACTTTCATTATGACACTTCAGTTAAATAAAGAGGGCAAAAAATGATGTATAAAGAAGTACATACTTGTTCTGATGGTTCGAAATTTGATTTTAGGTTCAGGTTTCTTTGGAAGCTGCAAATAAATAAATAAATGAACTTTTGTGCACTATTTGAATCCAAAAACTTAAATAATTCAGTGTCAAGTAATTAAAAATATATATTTCAAAGAAAAAAACCTGTAAATTAACAGTTATCATGAAATTTCAAATAACATTCTTAACACTGGCATTTAATTATTTTGTCTTCAGATAAATGAATGTAAGTGTTAATTTAAGGATTTAACACCTCCTAACCCATACCAAAATCTATTGAAAAATTAAAAAAAACAAAAACAATCTACAAGCATTTTAAAAACTCATAACCATTCACAGAATCTAGCAACAGTTGTAAACAAGGCTTTGTTCCACTGCCACCATAAGACCATTTTTTAACAAAGCATTTCGCAGATGGTGAAACCAATAATAACAATAAATGGTCAGTCGAAACCAACTTAACTATCATCATATATGTTAATTGTGAACTTGGTTGTGGGTGCGCAGATGGCAAGGTACCAACCTGCTGGTGCATGTGCTGCCACCAGATGTCATATGGCAGCTGAAAGTTTTGAACCAGTTTCATGTAGAACTCTCCTATGTGGAGGGGTGGAGGAATCAGACCATACTCATGCTCCTCTTTCACATACAAGAGCTTATCTCGGCATCGTATCATATTTTCACAACGCTTTCTGGGCCTAGAGGATGATAAAACATTAGATATGCTAAAAAAATCGTTTACAATACATATCAACATACATACTAAATGTTTAAATTGCTAATGTATACAAAGTTAACAACAAAATTGACAACGTTTATCATCCAATATTTTCTTCTTCTAAAGAGTTAAAAAAGCATTTCTAGTTCTGTTTTTTTTCTAATCTTCCGTTGAAGCAAAGAGGGGACAAGGGCATGATGTTTCTTCTTCACCAGAACCTCCAGACGGTAATGTTGAGCGATGCTATTGAAGTGGAAAGCAGAAAACCTTTTAAAATCCTTTTTAGATTAATTTTGAAGGTAATTTTATATAGATATGTAAATTTAAAAAAGGGGGTGGGAGTTATGCCTTAGGAACAATTTAAAAACTTATACATTGTACCATTCAGTACCCATGTAGGGCTTATGCCTGCCTCACCACTTCCTTCCACTCAGACCTAACCGATGCTTTTCTTTTCCATGCTTGGATTCCCAGCTGCTGTAGATCTTTTTCCACATCATCCATCCATCTAGCCTAGGTCTGCCTTGGACTCATTTCCCTCCGAAACTTTGGTGGTGCCCCCTCTTCACTCCGTCATTTGGCATTCTTTCCGGCCCAGCTTAGCCTGCCCTTATTTATTTCTGCTACTAGCGATGGATCCTGATTATAGTCTATACAATTCCTGGTTCGTATTCTCCATCCATATTCATGCTTTGTTGGTCCGTACATTTTCCGGAGAACTTTTCTCTCCCATCTGTTCAATAAGCTTTCTGCCGTTTTTTGTTAGGGTCCAAGTTTCACTGCGCATGTTAGAGCACCACAATGTCATATATAAAACAAAAGTTCATCATAAGCATCGAGTGGGGATACCCCTATAAGTAGCTGTAACTAAAAGATTAGCCAGGAAATGACAGCCGGGTACAGACAATGAAAAATCAATAACGTGATCACGGTGGGTTGCTTTAAGAATCTCAATAGCAAACATTGTACATGTATTCTTAACGAGTTGGGGTTGGGGGGGGGGGGAGTAGTTGGTAAACCAAATACATCGATATAACCCTTTTGTCTTAAAGGGAGATCGGTTTCAAAGACGCTTTTCCCTCCTATAGAATTCCGGCCCGTCTAATCATCACCGGCGCAGGCGGGTAAGGCAACAATGGCAATGTGTGGTCATGATAAGGAACGACGATAACACTCGTATCAATAATAGCATAATGCCGTAGAAGTTACTAGCAGCTTCTGGATAAAGAATGGCAGGCCATGGATGGTAATTGAATGTATGGATTATATTGTGGCAAAATATTTAATTAATAATTTTTTCTCCTACTTTTGCACGCGAACAGTATCTGATAACAGGTTAACGATGCAAATGGTGAATAGGATACAACACAGTTGGAATGGTTTTCTGTGTCCTGATAAACGTCACCGCTTTGGTGAATGTGTGTATAGAGCCTCGTCGGGCGCGCCTTTTATTCTACTGCTACATTTACCAAACACGTGTACTACTGGGTGAGGGGGATTCAGTAGCCGCGGTACATGGACCACTGAATGGCAAGGATGCATTCCTCAAAGCGATATCAATGTCAATGGAAAACAATTCTTTACTTATTCTTACATAGTATTCTGAGAAAAAGTCCTGCGTTTCAAAACTGACAAATCCAATAAAGTCAGTGTCGGCATTTGATTTCTACTCAACTACTGAGATATCGCCGTTTGAGACTAAATTTAAATGATGTAATTTGTGACGACCGCAAACTACTTGAAAACAACACACGCCTAGATGATCGCGTGATATCATATTGATACCCAAGGTTTTATCAAGGACAAACGGGAGCAACATTGTGAGCAGTCCTCATCTGCCGGTAGACGTTAGCTACCTGCAATGCGGTCTTGGTATTTTGTTTAGTCTGTAGCACAAATCCCGTTTTTTTTTTCTCCCTTCCCTACTTAAAAAAAAACAACAACACACACACAAAAAAACCAACAACAACAGAAACTCCGTCCAACATAAAAGCAGCCTTTATTCATTAGTTCAATGCTGGTGTGGATTCTGGTTGTACAGTGCTAATCGGGTTAATGCGTGTGTTGCTGACCGCCAACGTAAACACGCTATAAAAAAAGTAGAGCATTACCAAGGCCGACAAAACCCAATGAATGGTTGGTGACCAAACCAGTTGGAGTTTCAATGGATGGTGTGTTTATTTCAGAAACGACCGTTCATATCGTTCATATCTTTTGATAAATCCAACATGCAAACAAATATATGTCCCTTTTAGTACAGGAAATAAAGACATCTTTGTAATATATATATTATGTATTATGTCAAAAGAGACATCATATTACGCAGAAAGGCCGAATATAATTTTGTTTCATAAAAAAAAAAGGCATTGGGTCTTCACTATAAGGTAAAATACTCGATCTGATATCTATCCTAAGCCACATGCTATTGCTGTGTACAGGATGCATTAGTGATGACTATGAAAAATAGCTCTGGCTTTATTAACAAAAAAAAAAAAAAACTAGGTTAATCACAGATGGTCTATCACCACAGGCCCCAACCCCCGGGAACTGTAGCACGTTTTGATTTGGTGAGCAAATAAAATATATTCATTATCAAATAACGGAAGAAAGTATACGATGTTCGCAATGGGTCATTAACTGTTGGCAATGGGGCCGTTTAAAATATCATCCCGTTCCACAGGGAGGATGAAGTGATAACCCAAACAGTTGGATTGGGTTGTGAATTGCTGGAGCAAGCTCAAGCCACAAAGATAATACCATGAAAATGTCCAAAGAAATTCTAAAGCTTTACCCGTGTCATTGATAGCTATTAAAATAGTTTGTGTGCTGCTTTGTGCGCCCGACCGTCTCGAGGCCCCCCCCCC